TGCTATCACATCAAATATAAGTAGTTTTCTTATTAATAAAAATCAAGAACCCCATTTAAGAACCTAAAGAACCTTATTTCAAGTTAAGCACCATTTATACAAGAACCTGTTCACACTGACATGGAAAAAATTATGTTTTTATGCTCGGGGTTTTATTGTACTGCATAATATTGTAGCTTTTTTATACTGTTCTCAGTGGCTTCACGAAACAGATAAAGATATCGCTACAAAAATCCATCAGCCGAGGTCTAACCTGCATTCCTTCCATGAGATCTTCCGAATCTTGTAGTACCGAATCCCTCTCGTCCATAAGCACTTTTAGCCTGGAAACGAGCGTTKCGTTTTCTGATTTCAGTGTTTGGAGTTCGTCTTCAGTGCAAACATTAAGTGAATCGTCTTGAATGGAATCAGTTTGAGGCCCTTTGTCCAGGCGACTTTGAAGATCAAGAACTTGGTTCTATAAGTGTAAAGAAAGCAAAAACTGTCGTGTAAAAACCATTCTCGCACCAGACCCTTTTCAGTTGAAAACTACGATAGACCGCTAGATAGATGAGGTCTGGGTACGAGAATGTGTAAAAACTCAGTAATGCAGTACCAATTGAAACCTGCTTTTTGATTGCTCCTTAAGTACAGCACCACTATTGTTAGGTTAGGTTTTGTTATATTTTTGGAAGACTTATCTATTGTTTGTCCATTGTTTCCTCAACCTATCATGAGACCCGTTCCGAGCGGTGCTACCTGGCTCTAAAAACTGAGTCAGCATGTTGTTGTGTTGCATGATGCACTTTAAAAACAACCAGCATTACTTATTTCGCCCACTAGAAATGTATTATTTATTATATTCTAGTTTACGGCCACATTATTTAGTTTGTAAATTGAAAATTCTGGCCAGCGGATAGCTTTAATTTCGCAAAATAGCTTTTAAAAAGATCAATACCATGATGCACTTCGCCGAAACAAGAATGACGTCATAACAGGGAAAGACGGCATTAACTGAACCAAAAGATAAACGATGACAGAAAATAGAAATGTATAATTGAAAATGGATACCTTCAGAATGTCTTTCTGCTCCTCTAGCTTTTTTCTTTCTGTGGTAATCCATTGCAAGGCTTCTGAACTGGACTGATTGAGATCAATTTCGAGTTTATTGTGGGAAGAACACAGCTCATCATACTAGTAAAATAAATAATAATAAATAATAATTACCAAAAAATAATTACCATGCATGCAGTGGGGTCATAATCCAAGGACCGCGTYGCACATTAAAAGCTGAGAGGGGATAAAGGAATAAAGATTGTGAGCTTGGCTGGCCGACTAGTCAGTCTAAACATCAGACGTGTGGTTTTTCGTTACTAGCATATTGAAGTCCAAATAAAGGCAATCAAAGGATTTAAAACACGAGTTAGCTTTATTACTACGTAGTAGTACTCTAGGAATCTCATAAATAAAGTTGAATAAAGTTGATTGATTGATCTCATCGGAACTTTAGACATAGAAAAMTGGTTGGAACTAGCGGTAAACTATTGTGAGCTGCGTCGGTGTTTCTAAAGAAACAGTTGTGTAAAAAGATAAATTTAATACCGTAAAAAAGTAAGTTATTTCACACTAATACTTTTTTACGGTGTTAAATTTATCTTTTTACACAACTGTTTCTTTAGACACAGTCGTTTTTTTTGACCGTGATTATAAGTGAGACTAACAGTTGACATCCAAACTCCAATTTTCTTTGGTACTTTACCAAGAAATACTAAATAGTCGTTTTCATTACACGATCAAATGAAGCCAACAATAGACTTCTATCTTTTCTACCTGTCGAGTCTTAGCAGATAGTTCATTTTCTAATTGTCCAATCTTTTTATCACGCTCTTCTAKCTCACTCCCCAAAGTTGATATCACAACATTTCTGAAAAAAATAGTCATGTAAATTGCAATGCAAAAATTCCAATTCATAAGTTATGGAAACCAATCAACTAGACTTTCGATGMAACGTAACAATCAATAAAGTTTCATCATGATTACAGGTTTGCATCCCAGAACCATTGTGTGATTGTGTCATATATACGAACAACCCTGAATTGATGTGATAGCATAGTGGCTTGACCACTGAAGTTTTTCAATTGAGTTCGGACAATTGATTTCGTGATTGATGGCTAACCTTGAAGTGCTTTTAGATGCGATATCAGTGATACTTCGTCTGAGATCATCTGCTTCCTCATTTAATTTGTTCAACTGCAAAAGAAAATTGATGAAGTTTTAGTACCAAATTTTCTACGAGCACTTGAAATGTATCAAAAACATGAAAAAGAGGCTGGTCAGGCTTCAATTCTACTAATTTTCCTTGCAGATTGAAAACCTATAATTTCTGATCCTTATATAATATAGTTCTGAAAGCCARAGACAAATATTTCACTGCTACATTCATGCAAATTTTGCAAGCATATTTTTGTAAATATGCTAACAAAACTTGAGAGTTTCACCATTTTCTGGACAACCGGGAGAATATTAGGCTCAGTCTCCAGCCGTCGGGATTTCGTATCGCGGGCGCACGAAATCCCGACGGCTGGAGACTGAGCCTAGGAGAATATACGTTGCAATTTTTAGACATGGAGTTTTTCGAATCTTAAAACAGACTTGAAAGCCCTCTATGTCACCATAGCCGAGCACTTTTCCACAGAGCATCTATTTCTTTATTTTATAATTATTTGTATTAAATATTGATTTTGATAAAAGTCTGAAGGAGATATATTTGTATGATTTTAAGTTGTTTGTTTAGAGTTTATATGGTTTACCTTTCATTAAGAATACATTTATTTTGTTCAACAATAAATTCTCCATGTTAAGAGCTTTACAACAGCAGTTCTGAAATGTTGAAAATTGTTTAATCTTCATAAAGTTTTCATTAATTCAAAAATTGTATATATTTAAGTAATAATTTTAGAAGCTACTATTTGACGAAATTCTGGCCGCGAACATACATAAATCATATATCTATAAAATAATTGTACTTAATGACTTGAATGATTCATTGTTTTATTTTTGGAAACATTTTCGATAATTTTATAAATTTTATAAATTTTTTTTATAAATTATTTTAAAATATATATAAATACGCGGATTTATATCTGATTTAATTTTCTAATTAAACTGCAGACGTATCCTTGAATAACCCTAAATATGCGTATTTGGGTTGATTGATTTGCAATTCGCCCAATAAAAGAGCGAAATTCACATGAAATTACCCATGACGCACCCGACATAATGATATATTTTGTCCGCATTTTTACAAATCGCCGTAATGACAATTATGATTTTCATAATTACTTTATATTACCATGTTCTCTTTTTCATCCAGTTTTTCGTTTTGTGTCTTCAGTTCTTCGTCTTTCAATCTCAGCATTTTGTGGACATTTTCAAGTTCTTGATGGATTACTTTAACATCTTGAGAAACGGATTCTGCAGAAGTCTAGAGCCAAGAAAACGATTTATTGTCATATAAATAAATCCATGAAATATCTATATTTCTCACTTTCTAGAACTCATTAATAATTCATGAGCTATTAGTCCAATGAGCATCGAACTATTGGGTCACATGATGGGCCTTTATATCCCGTTCTAAAACTTGCTACTTTCCTTAGTGAGTATACCACATTCATACCTGTATAGGCGCATAGAGGCGCTACTTCCGAACATTGAATACTGAATACTGCATTTTTACTGTTGCTTTTAAAATCCACGATAAGTGCGTTTAGTTGTAAAATGACAATTCTAAACGAAATTTCTTTCCATTGAAGCTCTTGACTGTGCGTAGCTGGTAAAGTCACTTCCATAACTACGAAAGCTCTTTTTGAACGGTGATAGAACAACCAACAATGCATTTCGGCCTTGGAATACAGYATCTTCAGTATTCAACGTTTTCTGAAATAGCTTGGTATAGACCGATCCAACACTCGATTCGATGAACATGAAACAATGGCTTCAGTTCGAGACTGGAGTTCTCTACAAAAGACAAAACTCCAGTCTCGATTTGAAGCCATTGTTTCGTGTTCATCCAGCGAGTGTAGGATTGATCTATAGACTGATAYAAACGTTTCAAGACAATTCAAACCACCCGGGAGTAAGTTTCATTCTTCGTTGTCTTTGCATCTACCGATGAATTCTTAGAAACAAAAATTCTTTTTCACACAGGATTTGAATTGGGTGGCAACGTACATAGCAACRCCGTTAGCTGATTAGGTCTATTTCCGGAACAATCAGTACAACWCTATATATTGACCTTTTCCAATGCTTGTTTCAATTTCTGTTGTAGTTCATTATTCTCAGCCTCTAGTTCAGCAAGTGACATCATCATTTCTCCTTTATCCTTTTCCCAWCCATCCTTTTCTTGCTGGAATTCTTGTAATTCAGTCACAAGAGAAGACTTCTCAGTTTCAAGACTATCAAAGGAAAGATTAAACTCTTGAATTAGTTTAATAAGGGAATTATTCGTTTTCACTATACGTCACAGCGGCCATCTTGGAGGAACTTCGACAAAGGATTGCTCACTGGTATCTATTCTTCATTCCTCCAAATGAATGCCGGTCTTTTATCTTAATTTGAATCTCACGGGAATGGTTGAAAACGRTTAAGTAATGGCCCAAGTAAGAACTAGGGAAGCAAACGGCAAAGCAATGCAACAAGGTGCTAATTGTGCATTGTATAATCCATCCATCCCATTGGTTAAAACATGAAAATCTGCTATAATTTTTACAAGTTAGCGCAATTTCTAATATTTTATTTGATGTCTGTTATCATTTTCATGAAAGCTTTCTTAAGGCAATTCTACGTGGGGAAGATAGCAAATTAGAAGCATCTTTTGGCTATGGTTTTGAGTGCTTATGATTGGATAAGAGCTTTTAATACAAAAGAAACTTTGTTTCAAAATAGAGTTTATCCACATTTTATTTCAAAAATGTGTTACCCATAGGTTGATATATAATCAGTGTGAAAACCAAGACATTCGTACGTGGGAAAGTTACAATGCCGCAGAACAATAGAGAGTTCCCTAGTTCTTAAGTGCATTGTTACTTAATACATCTTTTTATTTTCTTCAAAGRAAGCCTTTGATATAAAGAAGGTAATTCCTGTAATTGGAAATTATCCCATATTCATTTGTCTTTTCTTACCTTGTGAGCTTCCCCTTAATTTTCATCAGTTCTTCTTGTAAGTSATTCACTTTGTATGATTGCTCTCTGGATTTGATAGTTCATGATTAAGCTTTCATCAAATAAACATCACTTCACAATAAAGACATTTTTACAGCTATAACTCCCATTGGGGCACTTAATTTGCATGTTGTTCGTGTACCCTTAACTCACCCAAAAATTCCCAAATTAAACCAAAAGACAAACTAGTTCAGGTTACAGCACACCCCTGGTTGAGATTCGTAATGCCAGGGAGCACTGAATTACATCTAGGATCAGCGTCATGAACACTACTCCTGCGACACGCTCTTCTTTACCCCTGGGACATGTTCCTCTTTACCCCTGGGACATATGCTCCTCTTTAACTTTTTAAAGATTTGTCTTGACTGTGGAAGCGGGCATGGTGGTCTTGGGAGTTTTCTCAAACGATCATTTTTAAATGCAGACTTTTATACTCAAATTGCGCGGGTTCGTAGATTGCTCAAAACGTAAAGTTTGCACTGATTTGAAGGACTGATGGATTTAACGCTCATTTCCATTGGATTGATAAGATGTGCAATTTGTCGATTCTAATACCCTAGATGCCCCCCTCAATCGAATATCATTGAACATCTCAAAATRATCCTCGGCATCCAATAATTTCTTATTTATTCCCCAGTAAATTACTTACTCCTTCATTCCTGTGATTTCCGCATAAAGAGACTCGTTATCATGAGATATATCCAGTACTTCCTTTTCAAGCTCACCTACATTTATATAAAGAATAATCTAAATAACTAAGACCAAAGTCCATGTACTTTAGTTTAAATGGAATTCTTGATATAAGTTCTTATTTATTCCCCAGTAAATTACTTACTCCTTCATTCCTGTGATTTCCGCATAAAGAGACTCGTTATCATGAGATATATCCAGTACTTCCTTTTCAAGCTCACCTACATTTATATAAAGAATAATCTAAATAACTAAGACCAAAGTCCATGTACTTTAGTTTAAATGGAATTCT